GTCCTTTGCTAAGATATATCAACGGTGCCCTGTGTTCCTGTTCCAAATAAGTTCTTCTTCCCATCTTAGATCTCCTCAGCAAGACCTTTATTGTCTATATGTCTGTGAGCATTTTGCCTATAGCCACTTAACCAGTCTCTAAAACGTTCCAAAATTTCCCTCATCTTTCTGTCTTTTTCCAAGTCCTCTGAACTCTTCCAGCCTCTGCCCATTACCCAGTTCCAAAACTGCTTCCACATTTTCAGGTATCTTTACAGCAACACCCACTCCTCACTCATTTGTGTTGCTAAAGGAAAACCTGAGGCTAGGTAATTCGGGTTTTTGGGGGGGGGGGGTTAAGGGGTTTATTTGGCTCACGGTTCTGGAGACTGTACAAGAAGCATGGTACCAACATGTGCTTCTGGTGAGGCTCTCGGGAAACTTCCACTCATGGCAGAAGGTGAAGAAGAGCCGGTATGTGCAGAGATCACATGACAAGTTGTGTGCAGAGATCACAAGGCGTGAGTGGAAGCAAGAGAGAGGGAGGAGATGCCAGGCCCTTTTAACAACCATTTTTCATATTGAATCATAAGGGAGAACTCATTCATTCCCACATAAATAGCACTAACCAGTTTGAAACATTTCCCACAAGACCCCACCTCCAACACTGTGAATAAAATTTAAATATGAGACTTGGCAGGGCTGCATTAGCCATACAGAAACCATAGTAGTGCTGTAAACTGAATATTTGTTTTGCCTCAAAATTTATATTTTGAAATCTAACCTCCAATGTGACAGAATTAGTAAATGAGAACTTTGGAAGGTGATTAGGTCATGATGGTGGAGACCTCATGCATGGAATTTGTGCCCTTAATAAAAGGGGCCCCAATTTTCCAGCTCAATTAATAAACACAGCTTTTTAAAAAGTCTATCCCCCACAAGTACAATCCCTTCATTGTTTATATTGTACCACACTCTTGGTTTTTAATTTCCATAAAATTTTTACTATAAATACACTATCATATGGTATTGTTTCAAGCACTTGTCCACAGATAAGTAGAAGAAATAATTATTTTTTGTTTTTAAATTTTAAATAATTTTATTTTGTATATAATATATAAAAATAAAAGGGATACCAGAGAGCTAGGTATTCCCTTCTACCATGTGAGAACACTGAAATATCTTTTTCTCCTATTGTTCTTTTTATATGGGGGTAGTTGAGTCACTATATCCCAGACCACATTCTTTATTTGTTATTAGTAATTGGTTTGTTTAGATTTAATTTTGCCATTTGTATTGATGTTTGGAAACGTATATCTATGTTGAAAATGTTAAATTTGCTTCATAGCCTCAAGTGCATTTCCCTCATGTGTACCAGGAAATTGTTTTCCATTTCTTTAGTATAGCTTTAGTTCTGATTACTTATTTATCATGTCCTATCTTGTTTAATTGCACTTTCTCTATTTTTTTATTGTTAGCTAGTGGCTTATCTGTTTGTTGATTTTTTACAAAAAAAAAATTTGTTTTTTCCATTTTCTGGTCATTTATTTATTTATTTAGAGTAGGAGTCTCACTCTGTCACCCCGGCTGGAGTGCAGTGGCGTGCTCACAGTCACTGCAGCCTCGACCTGCTGGACTCAGGTGATCCTTCTGCCTCAGCCTTGTAAGTATCTGGAACCACAGGTGCACACCACCACACCCTGCTAATATTTTTATTATTGTAGAGACAAGATCTCACCTAGTTTCTCAGGCTGGTTTCTAACCCTTGGGCTCAGGAAATCTTCTCGCTTCTGCCTCCCAAAGTGCTGGGATTTCAGGTCTGAGCCACTGCACCTGGCTACTTTTTAATTTAATCATTATTAATTCCTTCTGCTTACCTTACTCTCTCTCTCTCTCTCTCTTTCTCTCTCTCTCTGTGTGTGTGTGTGTGTGTGTGGCAGGCTTTTAAAAATTTAGATTAGAATATCTATTTAATTGGGTAATTTGTCTTTAGCCAATATACAACAGTGTTTAAAATTAGGAATTTTACTCTGGCACTGATCCATTAGTATCCTATAGGTTATAATATGCATAATTTTCCAATATCATATTTTGTTCTGCTAAGTGATTTTAAATTCTCTCTCACAACAAATTATTTACAAGAGAGACAACTGCAAGAAGTTTTAATTGATAGTGACTTATCTTCTTGTACTGACCTCTGAGAATGCTACCTATACTACTTTTAATATGTAGATCTAATTGAAAGTCTCATTGTGATTTATTAAATATTTATTTTTGTTAGTGACCCATTGATACTGGAAAATGTGATATAGTATATATTTTCATGGCAGAAATCCTGACATGAATTAATTTACTTTTTTGCACGAGTGTTGGGTTATTTCCCAGTCATCAGTATTCCCGGCCAAACTCCATCCAACACTGAGGTTTTAGTTCAGCATCAGCTGTAGAAATAGAATTCACACCCTAGATGTGTTCACAAAACTGTAAAAGTGAAGAGCATATGAACATCGGCTGTGGACTAGAAATGTTTCCCCGTAAGTCACTGAAATTCAGCACACCGATTTAGTGACATGTGAGACAAATTGGTTTTCATATATCCGAGGGGAAGAATCAGCAGGCAAATTTCCCGAAGCATATCTGTGTGTGTGGATATCCACCAAATTTAGACACAAAAAGCATAAGCAAAACCTAACTTGTTTCAGACTTTTTTAGTTGTAGCTGAAATGACATCTTTTTTTGAGAAACCCCATGGCTGCTGCATCCCTGAGTCCTCATGAGGGCGGGGACTAACACACACGCTGAACCACTCACAGAGAAAGCCTTTGTGTGGCAAGGGCTTCTTTGTTTCTGACTGCAGCAGGAATAGCTCAGCTGCCTTCATGGGAAAGCCCTTAGAAACACTGCCTAGCTTTGGAGGCAGTGACAGCTATTATTTGACATCTTTCTAAATGAGCTGATGAGAATAAAGTATCCTGTATATTTTTAAAATACCACCTTATTTGTTATTTTCTTCACCTAGGCATCTGTCACAAAATATGCAATTCTTTTTGTTGTCTACTATCTTTTAAGCAATTAAATACCACATGTTTAGTTTTAGCTGAATTATTTTTGTTGAAAAAATAATTGGTCTTTTAAAAATTATGAATACAAGGTTAATATGCTCCCTGCTTACTAAAATAATCACAAAACAACATTGTTACCTTAGGGTAACACAAGTCCCAAATATTTTAAAAAATAAAATCTTGGTGATTACTTTTTGTGAAATAAGTTCTCATGTCCACAGCACATACAAATTTGACTTTTATCCATGTCACTTGAAGCATTGTTTCAAGCTCTTTGTCCAGACTGCATTTAATCCTCACAACAATCCTGCAGAAATAGGTGATGTTGTACCCATTTCTCACATGAAGAAGCTGAGGCATAGGAAATTTAAGTAACTTGCTTAGAATGCAAGATTGCATGAATGCAAGATTGTAAGAGCTGTCTGGCACTAACTATCCTCTGTCTATCACCCAAGCCAATTTATTTTATATTAACCTTTGCCCCACTATATATTCTGAACTTCATGATTATCTGGTTCAATGTACTATTTGATTCAAAACATATTTCAGCCCCAAACATTTTGTCAGTGATCTTAGCCAGGAGAAGTGCATTCCACAGTTGTCATATGCAGGAATGTTACAGGTCAATTAGGTAAATCATTAAAATTGTGTCATTCTCTCTTACATTCATATTTTCTTTGCTTGTTTGATTACTAGAAAGTTGTATTAAAGTTCATTGAGAGTGAATATTTGGGATTTTAAAATTGTTATTAGTGATTAATTTGTATAAATAATATTATTAAATGTGCAATGTTATTAAATGAATACAACATTTGTAAAGTAATATATTCTTGGTGAATTACAATTTAATATTTACATGTCATTCCTTTGTATTTCCAGCAAAATGTTTATCCCTAATATAAGCTTGATCTACATGAAGAGTCACAGCACTTCTGTTTTCTTCCTCATACTATTACTTTAAATGCTTCTGTATTTTTATATTGTGCACATTTTAAAAAGCATGCTTCATTTTAATTTTAATCAAGTCTAATAAACTTTAACATTTAGTTTTAAATGGCTTTCATTTAATCTAATTAAGGTGCATTTGTATTGTAAATTTTCTATATTATTATTTTATTTAGCTTTTGGTCCTTTCTATATTTTATTGTTTTATCTTTTGATTCTTATATTCTGACTTGTTTTAATATTTTTATTCTATTTTTTCTTTATAATTTTGTTACTTTCATGTTAAAGATTTTTGTCCAAAACCCCTTTTGGGGAAAGCCAAGTCCCTTTGTATGTTGAATACACAGAACTGTGTGTCAGAGCCTAGAATTTGTTACTACAAAGAGTAATGAGATGTTGTCTAAACTGCATACAAACACATATTTCTGTATTTACAATAGCAGAGTGTCATCGCCATCATAAAAATTATCAATATCATGTTTTATTAGTCCTTTAATATCTGAGTCTGCATTCTGTCCAGATCCACTTGAACAGTCTTTTTCATTAGATGCTAATCAGTGACATTTGTGCAAGGGACAGAAAGATTATTCATACAACTCACATTCACAACAGCCAATCCTGTTAGGCTTTCACCTTCAAGCGGTCAACTCTGTATTTATTTTATTACATTAACATAAATAGTATGCTACAGTGTATATTATTTTATATATACTTTCAAATACATAACATTTATACACATATATGCATATAATATACCATTCTTAAATATATACTTCCAAATATAAATTATTTCATGGCAAGCTAAACAGGATAAAAACACGTAAACATACACTCCTAGTTTTGGTCAAGAAAAACACAAGATCACAAGATCATCACAGGCTAACAAGTGCACTTCAAAGGCAATGAGAGAAAGAACAGAGTGTAAACAAACTGAGATGAGCAGCTGCAAGGACCTGCGAGGGTCCATTTGTTAAGGCTACTGTAGCACAAAGTTCTCAGATCAATTAAAACTTATCCCTTCACTCTGTCACATTTACTCTTAAAGGACCTTAAGATGAGTGTGGAGGTTTTGCAAACACTAGACTAGAACCGAACTAATACTTTTGAAAATAAAGATGACAAACCACAAACTGACAGTAGTACTCATTTCACCAAAACAACAGATTTAAGAGCTTCTTTTATAACACAGAGAAACACCATCATCTGGGGAGAAAGATATAGGGAACAGACAAGAAAACAGAGAGAAATACTGCATAAAAATGGCCTCAACAGCCCCTGAATACAAAGGGTGTATCAACATAGAGAAAACAGGCAATAGCAGAAGACAGAGCCTCGGTACACTAGACCACACGCCACAGCATGAAGCTACAGATTCAAATTGAAATATTCATCCAGCTCGTAATGAAGCAAGTCCCATTGGTCCTCAGAGAAGGGGAACTCATCATCTCTCAGTGAAAGAAACTGCTTAAGCAACAGATTGGCCAGTCGAAGTGTGACAAGCTCCTTTTTGCTGCTTTTAGAGAGCATGTTGCCCTCTCCCACTTGCACAGGCTGGGAAAGTTGATGCCAGTATGCACCTGATGGCCCACCACCTGGCCTAGGAGGCTGCTCTCCCTGGCCCTCAGGGTATGCATGCTTGTAAAAACAGTTGTCTCCAAATGGGCAGTGACCCCTGCCTCCAGCAAAATACCTGCAGACCTTGTTGCTCATTGCCTCTTTGTATTGCTGAATAAGCTTCTGCTTCTCTTCCTCCTCCTCCACCCAGAACTGACTGGGAACGACAATGTTGGAGGTGACCCTGCACTGCGGGCAGGACTTTATGATTCTGTTATCAAACTGTCTGGCACTTCTCCACCTGCGGATACACTTAAGACAGAAGGTGTGGTTGCAATGGGAAAGAATGCCAAAGCGGCGGTCACTTGGGTTGGCCTTCTCATACACAATCTCCATGCAGATTCCACACACCTTGTCCACACTGCGCTGCACAGCAAACGAGAGCTCCATATCTTTCTCGTGTGCTTCAATGCAGGCCCTTATATGATCTTCCCTCTGGGCAGCATTCATGGGGTGCAAGACCTGCAGCCCACACATGTCGCATATCTCTCCGTGGAGGTATGCACAGCTCTCCCCACGAAAGCATTCTCCCCTGGCAGCATAGGGGCAAAGCTGTTCCCCCATGCCCACAGCCATCTGCTCCCTCTCAGTCACCAAGCTCTGTGGAGGAGCTTCGGCGGCAGACAGGACCCTGCGGCCCCGGTAGGGCTGCCCTGGAACAAACTCAATGGCATCCTCCCAGCCTTCTAAACCTGCTCCTCCGACAGCTCCACGGCCTGCACTTTCTGTCTCAGCTTCTGTCAAGGAACCCCCTTCAGCAGCTGAACCAATCACAGGCAAGGAGTGGGAGGATGCAGCAGGGAGGGCTTCCGCCACTTCCTGAGTGGGGGGCGCCATGTGCGCAGCCGCACTGGGGTCTCTGCCTGCAGAGGCCTGAGGCAGTGACTCAGGGCCCTCACTGGCCATCTGCCTGCCTGAGAGGTCGTGGGAGTAGCGACAGTTCTCTCCCTCCTTGCACAGCCCATGTAGATAATACCTGCAGACCACCTGCTTTGTCCAGCTGCCGCTGCTCCGACCAGGCAGGGAAATGGGCCTGGCCCCGCCCCCTGCAGCCTGGGCAGGCCTCAGGCCTGCTATGCGGAGGTGGGTAGGGCCCGGAGTCGTCCGGAAGGGGGGAGAGCCCACAGCCACGTGTAGAGGGGCTGAGTCTGAAGCCATCGGAGCCCCGGAGGCCTCGCTCCCAGGGAGGTCAGGCCCGGAGGCAACCTCCCCTGCTGCCTCAGCACCTGCCTCAGCACCCGCTACCTCCTGGGGTTCTAAGGGAGCTGCAGGCTCTTCCATGGCAGCTTCTTCTCCCCAAAACGGTGTCAAAACCTCTCCGGTACTGCTTCTTTTTGTGCTCAAAGCCCGGAGTGCAAACCCGGCTCGAAGGCTTCTCTAGGGGAAGTGCACATCTCTTTTTCTTCCCCCCTGCTCCCTCCTCCCTGTGACTATGTGTTCCGGCTTCCTTCCCTGGCAGGCAGCACGGCGGACACTTCCGGTGGGGACAACATCTGTGCTCAGCCTGGTTTTTACCGCCATTGTCCAATCTGACATCTCTTTTGTTCACATGGGCGGGGACCAGCCCAGCCCACTCTGTCTGGCTTCTGCCTCTGCTCCGCTGTATCCCGCAGTCCCTAATTACCCTTCTTACACCGTGTCTGGGAGAGAATGAGAGGATGAGGTTTTAATTTCTTACAATTTTCGTCATGCTCATTTATTTGATTTTTTTCATGTCTGTATGTTTAAAAAAATCAATCCTTGTAGGCTCTTAACCATTTGAATACATTCCTTTTCTTTTCAGTCCTTCGTTTTATGTCTGTGTGGCTCTATTTTTTTTTAACCCCGTTCTTCTCGCTGCCGAAAGCTCTTTTCAATTTGTTCTGTTGACAAGACAGCATTTCCTTCGGTCTTTATTTTCTGGAAGTCCTGTGGGCTTACAAGAGCACTTGCGATGGAAGACTTGGTGAGCTCCTGTCAGATGTTTCTTTATTGTGATTTCTAAGACTCACTGCCCCACTGTGCAGACACTTCAGACTGCATCCCGTCCTGATCCTGACTTAATGAGCTACGGTCCCCTTTGTGACCCTGGCTTTTATTTTCTCTGCCTGCTTAATGCATCTCAGTTCTTTTGTTTCCCTTCCTTTCTTTCACACCAATCTGCTCTGTATTGTGGCAGAGCAGCCTTTCATGACAGATTCTCTACCATACTACCCACAGGGGAATGCTTTTTAGCTTATACATGTGTGAGTGTTTTGTCATTTTTTCCAATGCATTTTAGTCAATTAATAAAATTGCTTGTGTACCTCCTTCGCTAAGATAACTTATCATGATTGCACAGTGAATTCTATCATGTAGTTTTATGCATTATTAAAGATAATCATGTTTCTCCCCTTTAGTTTCTTAATGTGTTTATTTGTACCTGTGAAGTTTCAAATATTTCACTGTTCTCTTCTAAGAATAAGCCATTCTCTATATGAGATATCATAGTTGTACACATTGTTGATTTTCTTTTTTTGCCACAACAATGTTATTAGAGGGAATTTTATAGCCTAAATTTATATTTAAAAGTGGGAAGTATTTGAAAATTAATTGTATGATCATTCATGTCAACCAATTAAATCCTAACTAAGTAGTTGAAGGTGGAGAAAGCAGAGTGAAACAAATAATAAAGGCAACAGAAGCAATGAAGTAGATTTTAAAAACTTAATGAGACGTAAATATCTGGTGAAACTTAACAAGGAAAAAACGAAGAAAGCTCAAATAACTAAGAGCAGAAATTTTGAAAACAATATCTCTACATTAATTACAGACAACAAAAATCATTAGACATTATCAGGAACAGTCAGGACATTAAACTTGAAAAATTTTATGAAATGATCATATGCTTAAAATATATTTTAAAAAAGAATAACAGAGGTAGAAATAAGAAATATTAATATGGAACTGTTAAACAAATTACACCTGTAATTAAAATAATTATTTAAATAAAGGCTTTTAAAACTTTCCCTCTGAAATAAATATAAAGACAAAAAAGGTCTATATTTATTACTGCATGTCCTGGCTAGTACAATAGGTCAAACCAGGCAATAAAATATGTTATAATTGGAAATGAAGTGTTGATGGAAAGCAGCAGAAAATTGAGAATAATTTACAGATAAACTATTAGATTTAATCAGCATATTTAGCAAGGACACCGGACAGGAGTGCAATATATAAAAATCAGTCTTGCTTTTCTCTCTTTCTTTCTATATAAACAATGACACTTGAAATAAATATTTTAAATTAATAAAATTTATAACAACATTAAAATTTAGCTTGCCTAATAATTAAACTAATTAAGGTTGTAATTTAAAATTAAAATGTTTTTATTTAGAAAGTCAAATAAATTGTGGAATACTTCATGGTCAGACAGCAGCAACCTCAATATTTTTAAGAGGTAATATTGTCTTAATTTGGTAATTATTTGAGAATGGTGCTGCTTTCCCATCATGAATCTAGAAAAATGTAGGTGAATTTTTATTTTATTCTTCACCTAGTTATTGAGTTTTATATTTTAGATGCCAGCTCTCCCAAAGACTGACTCATTTGCACTTTCTGGAATAAACTTTCTCTTTATGAGGATTCTTTCAACAGCCTTATTGATTTTTATAGAAAAAGACTAGCAGCACAGCTCTCAGGGTTATATACCAAGCTCTCCACAGATTCACAAACATAAGATTCCTCAGTGTAGGTCTACTGTTTATTTAATGGTGATATTAAATGCAGCACTGTGTCTGCATCATATCTGACCCATTTTATATACTAAAATTTTCCAGAGGAATTTATATATGAACTGTACATATGGTAGTCCCTAGCCTCATGTGCTTCTTGAGCACTTGAAATAAGACTGGCATGACTGAGGAATTGAATTTTTGTTTTTTGAATTTTAAGTTTAATTTCAATAGCCACACAGGGCTAATAGTTACTATATCAGAGAGTGAAGTTCTATAGTAGTTGACTATCGCATATCCTAATACAAGAAAACTGAGAAGTAGAATATTTTCTAGCCTGTCCAAGGTTGTGCAGCTAATATAAGGGCAATGTTTACTTCCAAATACCCACTTGTTGATGGAATCTATGGGGTTCCCAATCGTGTTCATGCCTTACCATCTCATGGTGACTATATCTTTTAGTTTTATAGTCATGATATTTTATATGGATGATTGTAAACTAATACTGTGTACTATGATTTTCAATATCACATGAAATTGAATCTCTGGAAATACTGAGCAGCGCATCTTGAAATAAATAAGTAACTATTTTTCATCCTGGCCAAATCTGTGTCTTGAGAGAGAATTTTCTCTGATTGCCTTCATTCATATTCCCGTCCTGTTTTTTGTTCTGTATGTTTGTTTGCATTGTTATTTTCACACAGTCTCTGAAAATACACCTCTGATCACTTCTCTAGTTATTTTGCTCCGCTGGGCCTTCTTTTCCTAGCAAAACACTGACAGCTTCCAAGGCTAGAATCTGACTAAGACCACCTTATACACATACCCATCTGCAGGGCAGCATGGGATCTCCTGGCTGGTCAGCATCTGGGAGTCTAAGTAGAATGAACCGGAGCAAAGCTGCACCTGAGCTGGCCAGGCGAAGGACCCAAGTCTAGGGTGCACAGTGAGAAGGAGGGAGGTGGCTAACAGCACTGCTGAGCTGAAGTGCAGTCCAGGCAGCCTAAAATAACCCAAGAAGTGGGGACAAGTTTATCAGTGTACCGCAGGGATGGAGAGAAAAAAGGACTTGCTGTCTTATTTCAGAACAGCTCAGAGATGCTAGGTCCAGTCTTACATGGTTAATATGGGAGCGGGGCGGGGATTGGCAGTAGTGGAAAACTGCCAGGGGAGGGGCACGCATCATCAACAAAGGTACCTGCATAATGAACATTTGTATACCTAACCCTGAATTGTACCCCGCATCTTTGAAATACAAAATTTAAAAGCAAACCAAAACTCCAAATGTAAAAAAAAAAATTCATATTTAAAGAATGGACAGCTATCTTGAAACAATACCTTTGCCAGCATGCACAGTTGCTTCAGATCTAGCGTGTAGTCACTACTGACAGGGGCTGGGACCGGGCTAGGGGTGGGTCCTGGAAAGGCCACAGGCACCCGTGCCAGCATGGGAAAGGACAAGGACAGAAGAGCTTGAAGGAAAATATCTAGAATCAGGAATTGTGTGCTCAGATCCCGAATTCACCCCACACAAACTGAGATTTCATCTGTCACAAACTAATTACCCTCTTTTCTCTCATCTGATAAACAGCAAGGATAACAATAACAACAGCAATAACAATAGTGACTAATTCACAGTTTTGCTGTATTAAATGAGATAATTATTTAAAATTAATGGAAGTAGTGCCTGTTACAAGAGTCGATCCTTGAATATCAGTGTCTTTTCTATTTTAGAGTCACCTAAAGAATCCTGTGATGAAGTATTTATCCTTGTCATTTCTCATTTTATAGTCACTGCACACAGCAGTAATATTTCTGTGGGGTAGCTGGAAGTTGCTGGCACATGCGAAATGAATGAATATTTATTGTCACACATTGATGGGAAAGCTGATTTTTATATTGCATTGTAAAGAGCATATTTTCTCCAACTCTAGATCAGCAGTTCAGTCATAGGTACTTTTGAGCAGTGTTTTCTGCTGCGGCAACTGTAGGATTCTGGCAGGAACAGGAGTCTTTTAGCTCATCCTGGGAGAGGGTGGGCTGTTTTGAGGAACTTACATTTAGTCACCCTGAGCAAACAACTGATAATAAGAAAGCTACTAAAAATTGCCTTTTCATTTCAATATAGATATAAAGAAGGTTTAAATGCTTTCACAGCCATTCCATTTTGAGATAATAAAATTTGCTCATCTTATAAAAATTATATTGATTTAGCTATATTGTAATCAAACACTGAAAAGTTAAAAGTATTCTAGATGCTTTTCTACAAATATCAAGAATTCAGCTACATCTAAACTTTAGTGTCATTAATAGAATTTTGATATATTCATAATAATATATTTTACACATATAAAACATACTTAGATCTCAACTTCTAACCTAATGAGATAGCTTACCTCAGGTTAATGTTTTCATCCAAAACAATGATAGAATCTGGATAAATACATGAAGTAAAGGACTTAGGACATAGTTGATATGGTGAGTGCTCCAAGCGCAAAGCCCAGAACAGCACTAAGTAACCCAGATAACCTAGGGGTGTAGGAGAAATTAAAAAGATAATTAGAAAGTATTTTCAACTGAATGAAAATG